ATTGTTGGTTTATCTACCAGCCCTGTTCTACTCTATCGATTCATGACTAAATCTCCAAGGAGACAGAAGCCAAACAGCTAAAATTTGTTGACACACCTATCCTTGCTGAGAACTTTGGGAGCTATTGGGAGGGGGATGGGCTAAGTTCCCACCTTGCAGAAGCCCCAACAGCCACAACCCACACCCAGCCATTGCAGCCATGTCAAGGAATCCACTCTACTGCTTCTCTAATACTCTTGCAGAGACACAACACTGGGAAAAGTTTTAGGAACCCTGGGGTCCGGACTGAGAATGTTGTGGTCTTCTCAGAGTAGGGGCAGATAGCCTCCTCCCACTGCTCCCTCACCCTTTACTTGCAGGAGCCCCAGAAGTCATGCCCACATCCCACAGTCACTTCCATGCCAACTCATTGGCCCAGATTATATATTCTGAAGTCCCTGGATATTTCCAAACTCGTCAATACTGAAATTCGTGTAGTAGCACACCAAGTTAGATGGGAAAGTAATGTAGAAACCAACTAAATCAATCAATAATCAATAAACCAAAAACAATGATATAGAAAGATCAACAAGGTAAAGTATAGTAGAGCCTTAGATAGGGACTTAGCCCCATGATGAGGTATAGCAACTTTCTCATAAAAATGGATTTTTTTATACTTTTAATATTGGGCTGGAGCGATAGCAGGGCTGGAGCGATAGCACAGCGGGTAGGGCGTTTGCCTTACAAGCGGCCGACATGGCCGACCCGAGTTCGATTCCTCCGCCCCTCTCGGAGAGCCCGGCAAGCTACCGAGAGTATTCGATATGCCAGACACAGTAACAACAAAGTCTCCAATGGAGACGTTACTGGGCCCGCTCGTTTAATATTGGAGTGTTAACATCTAATCAATTTTCTCTAGAATTTTGTCAATATTTGTGACTTTTGTCTACATTAAATATTAAAATAGATGTTTTATAAAGAAAAAGCACTGAGTGCACATTTCAAGAGGAGAGATATGGGTGGCATGTGTGTGTAAGCACCTGTGCACAGGCAGCATGAGCTGATAGCATGTTTGTGCCCTTACGTTGTCTAAGTTGGTTTTTATCGGGTTTCTCCCAAGCTGCCCCCAAGTGGGGCTTTCTGCCTAGGTAAGAGTCTATTGCTTGGATGGTTGCCAAGGGAAAGAGCTGGGAGCAGGTGATATTCATCACCTGGCTTTTTGTCTCTACTAGATTGTCCTCTGAAGGGTTCCAGCCTTCTCTAGATCTGTGGAAGTGCCAACTACGATCTTATCAGACCAACTTCTGTGTACACAAAGTGGGTCCTGGAAAAACTGCTTTTAGTAGCCTAAGGCTAATAACAGAGTAACTTCTTCAAATCACATTTCTTGGTTTTATTAGGTACCAAGATCTCCTTGCTATGGGGGTTGGGAGGGCTTCCATATCTACCTGCCTACCTGCCTGCTTCAGCAGGATAAACACCCATGTAACATGGGCCTATGTCACACGCAGTACAAAGCCTCATGTCACATTGGGACCCACGGTGATTCAATCTTCTCTGCAGTTATGAAAGTTGACAAACACGCTGCTGAGATAGTAATGGGGAGGCAGGCACTTTTTTAAAAAAATTTTTATTAGTGAAACACCATAGGTACAGTTGTAAACTTACAAATTTTTGTGCTTGGGTTTCAGTTATACAATGATTGAGTACCCATCCCTCCACCAGTGCCCATGCTCCACCACCAATGATCCCATTATCCCTCCCATCCCTCCATTCCCCCCATCTCACCCCACCTCTGTGGCAGGGCATTCCCTTTTGTTCTCTCTCTACTTTTGGGTGCTGTGGTTTTCAAAAGAGGCATTGAGTTGCAATCATTTTCTGTCTATAGTCTACTTTCAGCATGCATCTCTCATCCTGGGAGGATCCTCCCAACACCCTTTACTTGGTGCTCCCTTCTCTATCTGAGCTGCCTTTCCACCTAGCATGTGGAGCTGGCCTGCAAGCCATGGAGTGAACTTCCTGGTACTTATCTAGGCTATTAATGGGTGATAGTCTCCTATTTTGTTACTTTATATTTCCCAAATGAATGCAATCTTTCAATGTCTGTCCCTCTCTGACTCATCTCACTTAGCATGATACTTTCCTTGTAGAATCACTTGTATGCAGATTTCATGACTTCATCTTTTCTAACAGCTACATAGTACTCCATTGTGTAGATGTACCAAAGTTTCTTTAACAAGTCATCTGTTTTCGGGCACTAGGGTTTTTTCCAGATTTTGGCTATTGTGAACAGTGCAGCAATGAATATAGAAGTGTAGATATCATTTCGACTGTACTTTTTTGCTGGGTCAAATGTGAGTTCAATTTCTAATGTTTTGAGAATCATCCATACTGTTTTCCAAAAGGGCTGAACCAGTCGTCATTCCCACCACATCCACACCAACACCGGTTGCTTTTGTTCTTTTGGATGTGGGCCAGTCTCTGTGGTGTGAGATGATCTCTCATTGTTGTTTTGATCTGCATCTTCCTGATGATTAGTAATGTAGAGCATTTTTTCATGCGCCTTTTAGCCATCAGGATTTCTTCTTTGGGAAAGCTTCTGTTCATTTCATCACCCCATTTTTTGATGGGGTTAGATGTTTTCTTCTTGTAGAGTTCAACCAGTGCTTTGTATATCCTTGATATCAGCCCTTATTGGATGGGTATTGGGTGAATATCCTTTCCCATTCTGTACATTGTCTTTGTATACTGGTTACTGTATCTTTTGAGGTGCAGAAGCTTCTTAGTTTAAGATAGTCTCATTTGTTTATCTCTGTTTCCACTTGGTTGGTCAGTGGAGTGTCGTCTTTGAAAATACCGTTAGCCTCAATATCTTGGAGGATTTTGTCGACCTTGTCGTCAATGTACCTTATGGATTTTGGCCTGATGTTGAGATCTTTAATCCATTTTTATCTTACTTTTGTGCATGGTGTTAGGTCGAAGTCTATGCCCATTTTTTTTTGCATGTGGTTGTCCAGTTATGCCAGTATCATTTGTTGAAGAGGCTTTCCTTGTTCCACTTCACATTTCTTGCTCCCTTATCAAAGATTAGATGTTCAGAGGGTATGGTACCGACAGCAGGTCAATCTGTACCTGTGAGGTGAGTGCATCAGCAGCCTGATGGCACCTTCAGACTTGCAGATACCCCAAAATTGCTGCTGTGCCTTTGGCCAGACCCCAAAAACTTGGGGCAAATTTTGCCAAGAAAGTAAACAGCCAAAAGTTAGGTATGTGGGAAACACACCCACGAAACACCTCTGGCTCAGCTATATAATGGGGGGCATGGCCTCTCTGGTTCCTGATTGAACTGCTTAATGGCCATGATCCCAGAGACTCAGAAACAAATCTTGAAACCCAGCGGCTTTAGGCCGAAATGCATCCAGTCCTTGCAGTAGGTTACCGGTGCTGGGCCAACCCAGGTGGGAATAGGTTTCATGCCTTGTCCTGTTCCCCCTGGCGGCCCAGTGGATGCCATCCTTCAGAAGCCACTGGATAGTCAGGTTTGGGCCCCCAGTGACGAGACATGCAGGGCCTCACGGGATGGGGGTGGAGCCGGTCCTGGTCTCCCCGTCCCAATGAGACCCCAAGTCATCGTCCACGAATGGCCTCTCTGGCTCCTGATCAAGCTGCTCAACAGCCATGATCCCAGAGACTCAGGAGCAAATCTCAAAACCCAGTGGTTTTTGGCAGAAATCCCTCCAGATTTAAGTGTTAAAATTTTGGAATTTCAAATTTACATGGACCTACTGCAGCTACGCAAAATCATATGTTATTCATAACCAGCAATAGAACACAAGTTGTCTACTCTTGCCTTTTTAGCAGATCTGAGTGTTGGGGTAAAATCTCAAATAATAATGGTGGGTCTGGTGTCGAAATATTAATATGATCTAAGTAGAGAGAGAGTAATGTGGAAATCATCTGCCCCACAGGTAGGGGGAGGGTGTAGGATGGGGGTATACTGGGGTTTTTGGTGGTGGAAAATGGGCACTGGTGAAGGTATGGGTGTTTCATTGTATGACCGAGACTTAGACCCGAAATCTTTGTAACTGCTCTCATGGTGATTCAATAAATAAAATTATAAAAAATGGAAAAAATAAGTAAGGTGGAGTTCATGCACAATTCAATCAGCTAATCAGTGGCTGAATAAATAGCAGTACTCCTACAAAAAAAAAAGATTAGATGTTCATACATTTGAGGTTGTGTGTATGAATATTCCAGCCTGTTCTATTGGTCTGTGGCCCTGGGGAGGCAGGCACTTCTTGATGAGATATCTTTGCTAGGGAGGATTCAGTTTACTCTGTGTGTCCAGGAGTCACAGAAAGGTTCCACAACTCTGCAAAGATGTGCTGATAACACTTTGCTGGGATTACTCGAAACACTTTGGTGGTTTTCCATTGTTAACAGTTATTCCCACTGAGGAACATGAACAGGCATGGTGTTTGGGGAATGATTGAGATGTAAGATAGGACTGTCTCGGAAAAATGGAAAAACAGCAAATATGGGTGGAAAGAAGGAGATGATTTAGAAGTAAAGATCTTGAGATACACCAAGGACACTTTCAGGAGGTGTTAGTCTCCAGCAGAGGGAGGTCAGAGAACAGTGAAGGGGAAGAAATTTCTTTCTGTGAGTGAGGAGGGAGAATCAGGGGCCACTGAGTCACTGAGAGTAGCTGTGGCTCCGCCTGACATATCTGGAGAGGAGATGGGAGGCATCAGGTCACACCTGTCCCTCTCTGTCCTTTTGAGTCTGGCAGCATAAATGCGTCTTTGTTCCAAACAGCAGATTTGCTTTTCAATAATCTTTCTTTAGGACAGTGAATTACAGCGACATTTGTGCTAGAAATTAGCAATTACTTCCCACATTTCTAACCTTCTCTGGACCAAGTTTACTGTGACCCTCATCCCCTCATGTGACCTGATGTCAAAGCATGGCAGTTAGACAAATTTGACCAGACATACAGAAGCACACTCTTAACAGAATGGTCATCTCTTTATTGAAGGCAGTGAAATTTGGCCCATTGTTCTTCGCAGGGCTGCTTTAAACTCCTTATTTCTCAGACTGTAAATCATTGGATTGAACAACGGAGTGAGGATAGTGTAAGACACAGATATCAGACTATCCTGACCTGAGGAGTAGCTGGACTTGGGTCGTAAATAGATAAAAGAAGCACAGCCATAATGAACGGTGACCACAATGAGATGGGAGGCACAGGTTGAGAAGGCCTTGTGCCGTCCCACAGAAGATGGGATTTTCAGAATGGCAGAGATGATATAGGTGTAGGAGACCAGGATTAGCAGCAGTGGGATGACCAGGACAAACACACCAAGTGTAAAGATGACCATTTGACTAAAGTTGGTATGGTGAGAGGCCAGTTTGAGGACCGGAGAGATGTCACAGAAGAAGTGATGGAGCTGGTTAGATGAGTGGAAGGGCAGACGAAACACAAGGGAGGTAGTGACAAGTGCAACTGTGAAGCCACAGGCACAGGCAGAGGCTACCATCCCCCCACAAACCCTAGGTCCCATGATTACAGTGTAGCGCAGAGGGTTGCAAATGGCCACATAGCGATCATAGCCCATGGCTGCCAGCAGGAATGAGTGGGAGCAGCCAAGGAAGAGGAAAATACACATCTGGACAGCACAGCCCAGAAAGGAGATGGTTTTCTTCTGAGCCAGCAGGTCAACCAGCATCTTGGGCACAATGACAAAGGTGTAGCAAGTCTCAGAGCAGGATAGAACAGCCAGGAAGAAGTACATGGGAGTGTGGAGGGCTCTGTCCAGCACGATGGTGGAAATGATGATGGCATTGGTGCTCAGGGTGAACAGGTAGAGGAGCAGGAATACCAAGAAGAGCAGCCGCTGCAGTCCGGCTAGAGAGGAGAAGCCAAGGAAAATAAACTCCGTCACTGCTGTCTCATTGATCTGCTCCATGGGCCCTGCACTCCGAGCAAACCAGGACCAAGGTGAAGGCTAGTAGCCAGGGATGAGGGGCAATGTCTTGAAAGCTCACCAGGAGCCCAGTGGTGACTTCCCTCTCCTGATGCTCTACGGAGCCTTTCATTCCTCCTCAAATACCTGATAAAATTTAGAACAGGGAAATGGGCAATAAGATACCTAACAACCAATATATATTTTTTCCAGGATTAAGAGAATTCATTTTCTTCTTCTTTTTTTAAAAAAAAATTTAAAACCAAGGACAATGGTCATCTAACATTCTCCCTACCCTTCAGCCCATATTTTAAAGGGATTATTGTGTCTTCTGCTCACTCTAAACCCAACGACAAAATGACCCTTCCCAAACTGAGTACTTGGTTTATTTCTGCCAGCTGAGTGTGATGAGAACAGGAGAGGAAAGGACTAGGAATACTTAGCATGGCATGTGAACCTCGGGGTACCCAGGTACACAACGGAAAGAGAAGGAAGAGCTGGTGGATCCCCTGGAAGAAATATGGGAGACTTTTGTCTCTTGATTATTGTTAAATGCTTAGATAGGTGTAAGAACATCACATATTTATGTCCATTCTAACTCCAACAATCTCTCTGCATCCAAGACAATAAGAAAGCCAAACTTCTCATGTAATTTTTGATGGAATACCAAGATCAACAAGAGAGAGATAAAGTCCCTCTAGGGAGCCTGTATACAGGGGTGGCTGAGAGGAGAGCTCTGATTTAAAGAAAAAGAGGCCAGAGATTAACAGTACAGTGTATAGTAGGGCACTTGCCTTGTATGTGGTCAACCCAGGTTTGATTCCTAGCACCACAGATGTTCCCCTGAAGTGTCTCAGGAGTGATTTTAGAGCACTAAGCCAGTAGGAAGCCCTGAGAACTACCAGGTGTGGACTCCAAACCAGAAAAAGATTAAAAAGACCTTCCTATGTGGCTGGGATTGAGGTGTGTAGTTTGGCTGGTGAGAAGAACTACCAGGGTGGTGGGAAGAGACTCGATCACTGTGTGATATTTGGAAATATGATTTTAGTTTTCTCATTCTGTTGCATTTCAGAAAAGTCTAGAAAAATTAGCCACAACATGTCAAACAGGATGATGATAGAAAATGGGTCAATCTGTCGGTTTATCAGCACCCACTCCCATAAATCACAGACTGGACATTTTTTACAGATTATGCCAGCAGATTCTGTTTTAGGAGTCTGCTACGATACAGTTTGCAAAACTGCTAAAGAGGCTTCTTTACAAAAAATTTTTAGAATTTATATCACAATTTTTTCTTCTGTGAATTTCCCCAATTTTCCAGGTACTTCCTTTCTCCCTCTCTTTTCCCTTTCCTCCTTGCTCCTCCTTCTCTCTCCTTTTCTGCAATCCTGCTCCCCAATTTCTTATGAAAATCAAAGAAAATGCTTCCCAGATGCAACATTTTCTAACGTGCTGACTGCTTCCAGCATTAGCTTACATATTTTATATATTTATTTAAGTAAAAGATATTTATTAATTTTACATTTTGTTAAGAAATTATTAACAAAAGGATGAGAGAAATAACTCCAATGGACTGAGCACATTTTGTATACAGAAGACTTGGGTCTAAGGCCTGTATCTTATGTCTATGAAGTTCTGCCAGGAATGACCTCTGAGCACCGAGCTGGGAGTAATCCCTGAGTACTACCAGTTATGGCTCCCAAACAAAAAACAGGAAATAAAAGAAAATTATGTGCTACCAGAAAATTTTGTATTTTATTAGATTATAAAAAACCTTTAGCTTTCCTAGGTCCTAAGATAAATAATTAAAAATTTATTATTATTATTATTTTAAAAATATTGACTCACCAAGTTATTCATGATTGAGTTTCAGGCATACAATGTTACAATTCATATCTCTTTACCAGTGTCCCTTTCCCTCCACTAATGTTTCCAATTTTCCTCTGGCCCCAAGCCAACCTCTATGGCAGGCACTGTTTTTCTTTTTTGGCACTGTGATTTACAATACTGTTACCAAAAATGTGTCATGCATATCATTTTACCTCCTTTCAGTACCCAGTTCTTATCCAGAGTGACTACTTCCTTGTATTGTTATTGTCATATACTTTCCCTGCCCTATTTCTCCTTATTTCTTGTGGCAAGCTTATTTCACATGAAAAAAAATGTTCACTTCAGGGAGTCCACTGTCCTCAGTCAATAAAATCACCACATAGCATTCTGAACCTTCAGTGAAATAAAGTGACTTTGGGGATGTTGTATATTTATCTTATTTCCTTAAGTTTTATCTATCCTCATTTTAAAAAAAGTAATCTAGAATTAGTGATTAATGATGCCAGGGACCTCTAAATGTAGAAAATTTATAGATATTTTTCAGATGCAGAGTAAAATATTTGAATAGATAGCACAGTGGGTAGAGCATTTGCCTCGCACGCAGCTGACTCGGATTTGATTCCTCCGTCCCTCTCGAAGAGCCCGGCAAGCTACGGAGAGTATCCTGCCCACATGGCAGAGCCTGGAAAGCTCCCCGTGGAGTATTCAATATGTCAAAAACAGTAACAACAAGTTTCACAATGGAGATGTTACTGGTGCCCGTTTGAGCAAATCGATAAACAACGGGAGGGCAGTTTTACAGTTCTACAGTTCTACTCTAATGAGAGAATTCATCAATTAGTTAATAAAAATTATGCCAACAGCCTCAAAGAGAAAAGAAGTACAATTTCTTTCATTTTTACTTGAAACTTCTAAATTTACCTTATTAAAACAAAACTGTAGCATCCAGTTTCAATACATGCATGCATCTACACAGTAAAAAAGTGTAAATTTGGACAAAATGTCACTTAAACAGTGAGTCAAACCAAAAAATAGAAGTTAAAAAGTTTAGCTGGAATAATTATCAAGAAAATTCCAGAGAAGTCTTTTGCCCTTCAGAAGCCTCTGCTTGAGTTTACCTACTACTCACCAGAAGGTTCAGCACTCTTAAGGGAACACAGGTGCCAGTGTTTGCAAGTTCCACCCATCACTTGAGTTTAGGCTCACTCTCCCCACTAATCAGTGCTGCATTCCTCAGCTACCACCTATGCTGTTTGCCTTTCACATCTGGGAGAAGCAGCTATTTGGACTTCAGGATTCTTTGGGATGTAGATTCTAAGTCAAGGACCAGTATGCAAGTCCTTAACAGCAGAAAAGAGGGGATCTACCACCAGGAGAGGCTTTCCATATCCGGATCAGAGGTCTTTCCCTTATCCATAAGGGCTCCATATCACCAACCACTCGCTGACTAGAAATTCCAGTGACCAGCATGGGGCATGATTATAAGAAGCAATGAATGTGAGATGAGACTCCTGAGGCTAGTCCTACTTCCCTGGAGACATTGTCTTGGGGCTCGTTAGAAGGCACCTTATTGAAAACATAACATCTCCAGTTTCTAAAATGTAATGTGGGTTGCAAAAGCCAGGGCTTAGGAAGCAGGAAGGTAGTTCTTCCAAACCTGTACTGGAAGTTGAATCCAACTGTAAGGAGTTGGGAACACTACCAAATTTAAAGACCAAACAATGGAATGCTTTCATGTACTTTTATGTCAGGGCTCAAGTGTATTTGTCCAGTGTTGTTTCTTGTTTCTTATGAGACAAAGAAGGCTTGATTACAAATTCAACTTCTTAGAGGCTGAAGAGATATTACACTGTTGCTTGCCTTGCATACAGTCATTTCAGGTTTGATCCTTCCCATCACATGTGGTCAGAAGTGATCCTTGAACATAGAACCAGGATTAAACCCTGAGCACCACCAAATGTGGTCCCCAACAAACAAACGAAAAAACTTTCTATAATTTTATTCATAGAAATTATAATGAGAAAAAAGATCAAGGCAATTCCCAATGAAGATAGCCCTGAGATGGTGAACAGAACCATGATCTGAGGGTAGTGATGGGGAGTGGACCTTGGGATAATTATGAAAGGTAAATTCTCATAGGAAAAGCTCACTTGGAATGGAAAGAGACTGTGATCATAGACCCAAAGGTTATTTCTGGGTTGTCTTCTGTTTCAGTAGTCTATGTACTTGGTTCCCTAGAACCTGTTCTTATCAGATGGTGGTTGTGGATTTTTGCTGTTAACATTCAGATTTTGGGGGTGTTAATTAATCAATATTGAAAAATCCAATACCATTGGTATATTTTCCTGAAATCTTTTGAGTTCTGAAAGCCAACACTTTCTTAACTCTCATTCCAATAAATTTCTAACAGGTATATGCATCTAATTCTTTGATTGAGCCTTCCATAACTGGACTGGAGAAATAGTTTAATGGACTGTGGGCCTGCTTTGCATGTGGATTTCCTGGGCTTGACTTATGGCAGAATCACATGGTTCCCCCAAGAGCCATAAGGAGCACCTTCTAAACACAGAGTTAGGAGTAACCCTTAGCACTCTTGAGTGTGACCTTAAAATAAAAGAAAAACAAAAGAAACCTCTCATTAATTTAGATACTAAAGTAGGAGCTTAAATTTCTTTTTGCTATATGTGCAATAGCTTAATAAATATCATAGTACTTGATATTAGAGATTTGGAACTATAAACAGAAAATGAAAAATTTTCAAAGCAATTATTAATCATTTCCTTAACATTATACACAGAATGAAATGTATTAAAATGAAAATCTATTTAGTGAAAAATCTATCCACACTTCAAATTTTAATATGCATTGTTTCGGCAAATAAGCACTACATCACTGTATCAGTGTGTCACTGTCAACATATTGTTCATCGATTTGCTTGAGCAGGCGCCAGTAACGTTTCCATTCGCCTCTGTCGCGTACTAGTGTAGCCCAATGGCATCTGCGTGCTCCAGGAACAGGAAGAGCCTCAATCCATTTGTTCAGGGTTTTGATGAAGAAGTATGACCATCTTGTAGGTTGGCGGCCACGCGTCCTTTTCACGTTCCATGGAAACCAGTCAGAAACAGCTCTAGTCCAGCGGCCATCTCTAAGTCGCATTACATGTTTGGCCCATC